CTACATTAGCTTGCTAATAAAAACGAGTAGCTATACTGTTACAATTCGGCCTTTTTTTAATAAACTAATTACAACTACCAACAGTGATACCTTCAAGGACCTTAATGTATTGTCACATAATGTCAAATAACGACAAATAAAGGCTAAACTACCGCGGAATCCGCACCAAAACAGTGACAGCTTGCAACAGGAAGTGCCTCTACTAGCTGCAGCTGCCACGATTTGAGCTTGCCCTTTCTCGACTTCTGACCTGTCGCTCCGCAAATTGCGCACTGTAACGCTAGCAGCCTCGTGGGGAGGGGAGGGGGGAGCTGCGCTCATGTGATTGGTTGACAATTAGAATGTTGAAAAAAACGCATTTGCGAATCCAGCGACGTCAGAGGAGTCTCAAAAAATCCACAAATAAATGTGTAGCGATCTACAAATAAATGCAGTTTGATCCACAAATAAGTGCATACAAATCCACGAACAAATATAAAAAATCCACACAGAAATACATACAAATGCAGAAATACATTTGTGATTTTTTTTTTACATTTATATAAATCGTAATTTATTTATGTGTGCATTGGAATGTATTTGTGAATCGTTCTGCGTGCATTTATGAGTCAAATTTATTTGTAAATCCTTCTGTGTGCATTGGTGAGTCTTTCTGTGTGCATTTGTGATTGTTGAGACTGATCTGACCCCATAAATGGGTGACGTCACCATGACTATGTCCACTTGTTATAAACAGTCTCTGGTTGTACACCATCTATCACTCACTGTGAGCTGGGTATCTCTGGGTGTATTCAACCATTGTGGTCGAGGTGTTGAAATGTCTTGATTCTAAGATGCAGCGCGATTCTGCATCGATGCAGTCATGGAACGTCATCAGGAGTTTTGCTGTGTTTCGTGTCGTTTATGTTGCGCTAGTTTCTCTCCTCTGATCTCTGTATTTTACAGAGGGCGAAGCTTACACACACTCCATGTGTGCGGAGCTCGGGGTTTCCCCTCACTTATATTATCTACTCCAATTCAACAATAATGGGCGGGAAAAAAACATGCATTACTTTTGAAATTCAACAGTGGTGAGGTTCTGTCGGGAGATGACTTAAACCAAGTCACAGTAGAGAAACAATTGGTAAGAACTAACTAACTAAGTCTGCTAGCTGCTAGGCTAATTGATGCAGTGTAAAACTCCATAAGCATCCAGTGTCTTGTCCTGAGTTGCTTTGTTAAAGCTGATTTGTGTAGATTACAACACTCTTGTGATGCACTGCAGAAGGATTCATGTTTAGTTTATGTAATGTTTATTTACTGAGGAGACTCACACAGATACTTGTATTTAAAAGAGGCAGCTTTTTAAATTATATACTGTTGCAATGTGATTTTTGAAAGCGTTTTCCAGATAAAAAGGGAGTTCAGATTTATCTGACTGCTTGTGTGAACTGATGAAAAAGTAGCCATCGAAAAGTGAGGATGTGCTGCATTGAGACGCTTTGAGAATCGGAACCTTTGACAGGTGAATCGTATTGAAATCGTGAGGCCAGTAAAGATTTAACACCTCCAGTGGGCAGTAATGTAGATCACTGCAGCTTTATGGGACTATTTTGATATGATTTCTGCATCACATCATAGCTCAATATTTTTGACTATTTTCTTATATTTTAAAGACTATAGAATAATCTGCAGATTAATCGGGAGCCTGAACAGTTACTACTGCAAAGATTTAATCCGTAATTCACACTCTTGTATACAGTGTGTGTGTGTGTGTGTGTGTGTGTGTGTGTGTGTGTGTGTGTGTGAGTGAGAGAGTGCGTCTGCTGGTGACTCATAGGAATGTCCCATTTATCTTGATAGTCTGAAAAGGATGCAGACTTTAGGTGAGCCCGGGTCACTCTCCGCCTTCTGTGCCCTCGTTCCCCACAGTGTCATCAACTCGACTGAGCGAGAGTTAAGACCTGCCTTCTTCGGATTGACAACCAATCAAAATGATGATCTGTGACTGCGGAAATGGGTTGTGTAAAAAAAATAAAAAATTAAAGGCTAAGTAAAGAAGAGTATGGATCAATCCAATAATTTAATACCAGCTTCAGACTCAGACACTTTGGTCATACCACTGAGCTGTAATGCCCAGCCCTATTCATGCTGAATGTAATCATCAATGCAAACACTTATGGAAAAGAGGTGACACGAAGGACAAAAACCGTGGCAAGTCACTGACTTATCATGACTGCAGGCCGTGCACAATCCACCACAGAGAATGACCACCACATACTAGCTGCTATGCTCAATAGTATGCATAATTAAAGCTGCAAGCAGCATTAATCGGGCCCTCGCATATTCACGCACGTCGAGGGTACTGGGAGGACTGTGGTTGATGCAGCCATGCATTTCTGTGACCACCATACACTGCGTGCACGAGTTAAACGGTATTTCCTGTGTCGACCAATGGCGTAGCCAGGTCATTTTGCCAGGTCTTAAGCCTGTTTTGAGTGTACCTCCGAATACAATCATAACTGTATGCCTGTAAAAATCAACAAAAAACTGAATGTGTGTGAATGCGCTTCAGTGTTAGTAACATAACAGACTGTCAAAGTAAATGCAGGTCGTTTGTTTGTGCAGGTAGCTCTGACAATCACTGCTGAGTGACTCAAAGCTGGAAGAGTTGAGAAGAAATAGGAGAATGTTTGGTTCCATGTGGAGAAAAACACATTTTTTGTAAAGAATTAAGTTTAAGCCAAAAGGTGAGCCAATGTAGAATAATCTATCATATAAATTAGGCTGGGTGCAGTTTGATTTTATTAAACAAACTTCACGTTGCATGAAATTACTTTACATTACAGCCTGGCTCCAAAAAGAACAAAAACAATTCAATTTACTATTAATGAAAACTCCACATACAAGCACGATTTGGAAACCTTTTTCATCAAATTTCTGCTCTCCAAACATTTTAGTTTGCACATATTTAGATCAGAGAAGTCTTTCTGGTGGTGTGCCCACGAACCCTTTAAATAAGTTCAGTGTTTGGGCTGCTGTATTTATAGAATCCTGCTGACGTCTGTGGTTGCCAGTAGGTGGCGCTATGACTATGAGTTAATATTGGCATGCAGAAGTCCTAAAGTGTAAAAATAAAAATCAGGAAAAAAAATGAATAAAAACCCCTTACAATTTCAATAGGGCCTTCGCTGGCCCGACGTTGTCGGTTGCTCGGGCCCTAATAATTCCTTGGATTTCGATAGGGCCTGACTTCGTTGGGGCTCGGGCCCTAAAAATAAACATTTGAAGAACAATAGGTCTGATAGGCAGGTGGCACTTAGCCCCTGCCATCAGTGTGTGAATGGGTGAATGATGACAAGTAGTGTGAAAGCGCTTTGAGTGCTCGGAAAGACTAGAAAAGCACTATACAAGTACAGTCCATTTACCATTTACAAATAGTATTTGTTTTCTAGATCTGGCCCAAAAATCAAAGTTTCGAGTCAATAGCATAAAGGTATGGAATACCGACGCCTCCTCTTCTGCGGCCCCTCTGACTTGTGGGTTTCCCCAAGGCTCAATTCTTGGCCCCTCGTTGTTCTGTCTATACATTCTGCCACTGGGCAGAGAACAGTGATCATTTATAAAACTTGTTTTATCATTAACTTATCTGTACGGATCTGTACATCTTAATCAATTATTTATTTACATATTTCTCATATTCAGTTACACAATGCTGTGTGTAGGATCAAAGCAAATCAACCGGAAAGATCATAAACACAGAGAAATAAAATTATACATTGAGTAAAATTAATACAATACTATTGATTGTAGTATGATTGAAATACTTGGAAAAACTTTGTGCACACCATAAGGTACTTATAGTGGCAGTTTTCTTGCAATGTTTCATTCCTTACATTCCACAAACCTGATGCTGCAATGTCTTATCACCATACAAACAACTACTGTAACCATCAAGTTTTATGGTTTGACATCCGAACAAACTGTCACATCTTATCATCTCGACAGCTTAACATAATTCAATCACAGAACCTGGCAATGCACACAGAATAATATTAATGTAGCAGGAAAACATTAATCAGCACCACATTAGGGTGGAGAGCTCCACCCTAGAGGGTTTAGACATTTTTCATTTTGATATTAGCTACTACAGTAATACAGATGCAGTCCGAACATATATCTAATATATCATATTCTTTAGAATCAATGTCTCGAGAGTCTCACACAGCTTTAGGAGCTACTGATACTCCGACTCGGCCCTTCGCTAAGCCCCGCCCCCTGTTGCTACGCCGTCAAGCTGTTGGAGCTACATTGGAGCACACACTGTCACTAACTGCACTCCCTGAAGAAATATTATCACATTTTTGGAAAAACAAAAAAAGAAAATAAACAAACATACTATTATGTTAATTAGGTTGTCGTATTGATTATCACTAATGCAATTCAAGTTGGATTTAGCGCTGTGATGCCATCGGCCCAGTTTGCTGATGTAGGCTACTTTTTAATTTGCCAGAACATGTGAAAATGAGAAATGCTGGTTCAGCCGGTTTGCACAAAATCATATTGGTTTCAGATCATACACTGGACCAGAATATGGAAATAGACCCAACTCAACTATGAATTAGAACTAGAATTATTGTGAACATATTCAAACAAATGCAAGGTACAGCATTTTAGTATTTATCATACGATCATATCCAGGTACACAAAATGCTGCATGAGACATGATGATATTAGCAACAACCTGATGCAGATTCAGCATTTACTTTGATATATGAAGTCAATTTCACTAAATCTCTCCACAGCACTCGTGCATCTCGGCACTTTATACTGTGACCCCCTGAGGCCGCTGCTCTTACCTCGTCTCTTACCAATGTTGGTTTGTTCTTACCAGACAGAGGTCTGGCTGTGCAAGATAAGGAAACAGGATGCAGCTCACATGATCTACTGAAAACCAATATTTCACATGTACCTTCTGTAGTAACTCTATATCTATGTGTGTGTGTTGTGTCCTTTCCCAGATTACTGGAGTTAATGTGAGACCAGTTATACAGAGATGTCAATCCCTTCCAGTTAGCGACAACTCTACAATGATGAGGATATAAAGGAGGTGAGTGTGCATGGACATAAACCCTATCGGTAACACTTTATGATAACTAAACGCTATGAAGCATTAGTTAAGTGTGAGTAAACACTTAATTCATCATTTATAAAATATTGTTCCGAAATTAACACTCATTAGTATGCAGTTCAGAACAACAGTTATAAATGTTTTATTCTTGATTAATAAGCTCGTCTATTGTGTGATTCATGATTGTGTATACTTTATAAATGATGGATTCCCCATTTGTAAATGAAGTATTATATATATATTACAAAGTGTTTTGTGTGACCTCATCTAAAGTGAGGACTATCTATGCCTTACAAAGCATTTATTAATGACATTGAAAGTCCATCAGTGTCTCACAACCCACAAAAGTCTCAGTTATCTTCTCAACAAAAAAGCAAATAGACAAAAGACAAAGTGATTAAGAACATATCAATATTTATTGCAAGATGCAAACAATGTACTCATAAATACAAACCTCTCAGCCATTCATTCATGTAAAAACAAACAGAGATTCTCCTTATGTAAAAGGGTAACCCCAACTCAAAGGTTAGCTTACTCAAGTCGATCTGATGCTTTTGTTTGCAGTTAGCTTCAACAATGGAGAACAATAAAACACCCAACTATGCTCTCCTAGGTCTAACACCTGAGTACAGTAACCCTCTAAGTACTGGCAGGCAATTGTTCAAACCCAGAGATTATCAGCCATGAACTAATAGTAACAAATGCTCTTTATGTTACAGTAACTGTCATGTCATAACATCACTCTCTGAGAGTCAGGGTTGATCTTTGCATATATTTCTTTCTGCATATTCCATTTGAAAATGTGGGGGTTGTTTTATATTTGAAAAAAACATTTTTACATCTGATTTTTTATTTTATTTTGGTCTTACTAAAATTAGGGGCCAATATGGAAATATCCACCTGCCAAGAAACTTTATTTTTTTAGTTTTGATAGCGAATATTCTGTCAGTGATAGAGAGAAACAAAATGACCAATTCTTATATCAGTACTCTGTGATAACAATATCACAGACTATGGCTGGCATATGCTGGGCATCCTTGACAGTACGTTCCATAACTATAATGTAACAATGCACCGTCCAACTAAGCCATTTTTGCTAGTTGGTTGGGAGGGTACTGGGAATGATCAGGAGCCTGCTAGCCTTGCCTTACTCGGGCCACTGATGGGTGGCGGTCCCTTGGCATTGTTGATTAGGCCCAGAGACCTTAGGGTTCCTATGGGTCCTGGGAGGACTGCAGATTGCAGCCAGTCATCAAGCGATCAACCAATCATCTTCTCCATAGAGCGAATGATGCGCTGCAGATTGCCCTTGTCCTTGGCAGTGGCAGCGGCTTACCAGAAGATGATGGAGAAGGTGAAGATGGTGATGGGGATGTAAAAGTGCACCGTCATTGTCTTTGGGAGGTTGAACTTCTTCAGCTGCCACAGGAAGTACATCCTTCGTTCTTTTCTCTGTGCTTTTTTGGTGAGAGAGCTGATGGTCAACTCCCACTTCAGGTCCTGGGTCCAGGAAGCTGAAGGACTCCACAGCACTGACTGGAGAGTCACACGTGGTGAAGGGGGCGTGTTGGGCTGCGTACTTCCAGAAATCCACAACCATCTCCACTGTCTTTAGAGCGTTGAGCTCTATGTAGTTTTGTCCACACCAGATCACCAAATAGTCAATCTCCCACCTGTAAGCTCAGGGTGATGTGTTGACTGGAGGTGCAGCTGTTGGTGTACAGCTGTACATTAGCCGTACGGCAGTAGAAGACAACATGCAAGGTCCGTTAGCAAGGTTCCACCACAATCCTCCAGAACAGCTCCAGTGCACCTTGTCCATTATTCTGCATTCTTCTCTACAGTCTCTACACTTAGTTTTCTCCAGTCTGTACATTGGCCAATGCTGGCTGTCAGTTAGTCCTCTGAGACCAGAACATAGACATGTCCACCAACCTGAGGTATAATCAGCCTCTTAATTCATCTGAGACAGATAACTTGCTCTAGTGTGAATTGTCTTGTTGATGCAGAAATGCTGTAAAAAAATATCCCTGCAGTCTGAAGTAATCAGTCAACCATAGTTTGTGAGGAATATGACAGGAGAAGATAGGTGTTAAAGAAATGATTCACGCTTCTTTCGCAGTCAGCTGGTCGTTTTGGTCCCCACCTCCTTCACACATCCCACCACTGAGCTGTTCCGTTCTATCTGTCTGTATGTTGTAGGCTTCACGGGCATGATGTACAAACCCAAGATTTCATTTCTGAGAGAGAGAGAAAGAGCAGCTCTGTGCAGAAGCAAGAGAGAGAGAGAGGCAGGTTTCGCCCACGCTCTTCTCTTCTCAACCCTGCTCTAAAGGCTCAGTTGAATCATAACAGTCAGTGGGCGAAAAGAAAGAGAAAAAATGTCCACGCAGATTCTGACGTATGTGCATCTCCAGTCGATCAGGGGTCGTACAAATGGGAGAAAATGGAAGAGAGGGAGTTGTTGATAGCCTCCAGCAGTGCTTAGTCTGTCCCTCTCTCCATGGGACATTAATGGCTGTTTGTCTCTTCATGAAATCCGTCACGACTTTCCTCAACAGTTCAGTCAATACTTGCTTCAAGGAATCAAATGTTCATGACAGGTTATAGCAAATCACTCTACAGGTAGTAGAGGCTCTTCTCTGGGATGGAGCTCAATGTCATTGTTTCTCAGTTAGACCTTTATTGTGGCCACTTTGTGTGAATGAATGTTGGTTTTCTTCCAGTTTTGCGCTGGCCCACTCGCTCTCCGGACAACGAGTGGCTCTATTCACCCATGGGCCACCAATCAGACATTACGCAGACTTTGTAATCGGGAGCTGGCCAACTTAAGTTGTGTTGCATTTAATTCCAGTACCAAGGTCCACCGGAAACAAGTCTTCTCCAGTTCAGAGTTGGAATGAGGAACTTTAAAAGCAAAGCTCTCCTGTGATCTGCCGTCATAGTTGTTCACTTTGAACTCCACTATGGATGTTAGATATCTAGGTCTTATGAATGGAAACAGGTGTGCTGATGCTGAGATAAGTTATCGTAATAATTATGAGTCTCCCACTTGTAAATAGCGTTCATGTCAACTTCTAAATCCTGTGGGGATCATGCATTCAGTTGTGTGTGGCTGTCTGTCTGTCCACAGCTAATCTCACACACTAATGGTCCCATCAGCCTGATCACTTTTGTGTACATTTATGACTGTATGCTCAAGAACGTCTTGTGGTTGTGTTGATTCACACTTTTTATACCGTCATTGACAACCGACTCCTTTCTCCTAATAACTGGCGGGTATTAACTGTAACTGATCAGTTATTAACTGCTTCAGTAGCAAAAGGCATCTCTGGAAATCGGCTCGGCCAAAAACAAGCCATACCTAGTCCGTCGCGGCTCAAACACTAACATCCATAGAAAGATTTTATCTCGTTTTGAAACGGAGCATCTGCAGATTAATTCCATACCTGATATGTTATTATCAACTAAAGTCAGGCACAATAAAAGATGAATGAATCCCTGCTTTTGCTATCTTCGTCGCCATCTTAACTGTATGGGAGCCGGGAGGGACAATCGAGTGAGATTCACCTCTACGTTGTTTGGGAGAGAACAGGGAGACACACCTGGTGGAGATCTGCACTCTACTGAGTGCACTGTTCTACTTGGTGTCATCTGACCTTTTCATATAAAATGCAACGGTGAGTGCAGAATCTTAAGTGATGACTTGAGTGGCACTCATGTCCAATGGGTTGAAGATCCAATATAATAGATCATGGGGGAAAAAAGGTTTTATCAGTTTTCGAAGCTGACACCAATGAGTATGTAGTGTGGACTTGGATCAAAGCATTTGTGTTTAGTGCTAATTGGCCAACTTAAGATGATGAACATGGTAAACATGGTAAACATTATACCTGCGAAGCATCCGCCTCACAGATCCAGTAGTGAAACAACCGATTTTTGGGCAAGAAAAGTATTTTTCTGGTGGGATGCATAGGCAGGCTGAGTCAAACAGGAACCCTGCAGGAGGTCCGACCAGTAGCTGACTATTCTAGAGAAGTGAAGGTGCCGTCAGCACTGAACTGTGAACCGTCATTTGGGAAATATTGATTTATTGTTTATATCCTTGTTTGTAATGGCACAGTGAGAAAGAGGGATGCTGATTGGCTGCAGTGTTTGATAGGATCACTGCTAGCTGGTTTGTTGGCGTGTTCCTGTCTGTAGTGTCGAGGTTCATCAGTACCTCCACTTCTAGTGAACGAGTAGTGAGCCACGCTCCTGTGTCACAGAAGGGATTTACCACTTCTAACTGCAAATGGTGGCAGCGTTGCGTTTCACAAATGATTCGCTGTTGTCACTCACTCCTTAACTACTTTCATCGTCAGCTCTGAAAAGAAACGACGTTCTACGAGTTGCTCAACTTAACTTCCGATGGTTTGTTCCTTTGACCGTCTAATAATGAGGGAAATGGGTTTACATAGCATTTTGTGGTGCTCCTGGTGGTTTGTTTCACTCGTACTGCAGGCCCTGTTTTTCTGATACATGATAGTCACAGTCGGTGCAGATACCGCAGCACTAACTCACAGTACTCTCTGTGCCTTTCTATTATACCGAATCTGGCTATTCGATGATCCACACGGGTCTGCAGTGCCATGCTACGGACTGACAAACTCCTACACAGATATGGGAAAAGTGGACGGCTGGCACTAGTGGGTGTGACTCTTTCTTGACCCCAAATTGATTCTCGACTAAAAATGGATTCTCGACATGGTCGTGTTCATTTCAGGATCTGCTCCAGTTCACTTTGCGCAGTAAATTCAGTGTGGCAAGTTACAGCAGTGATGGTGCGACTCCTGTTTGAACTCCTGGTTCTACAGAACACGTGAACATCACAACAGCTACATCTTATTCCCCACAACGCGAGCTAACTCTACGTCTGTTTTCCAAAATGCTTAGTTGGTGTGTCGACTAATGTGGTCACTCTGAAATGTTTTTGGGAA